ATCTCGGCTCACAGAAACCTCCGCCTCCCGGGTTCAAGCAATTCTTCCGTGTTGGCCTCCTGAGTAGCTGAGACCACAGGTGCGTGCCACCATGCCCGGCTAATTTTTTTTTTATTATTGTATTTTTAGTAGAGAGAGGGTTTCACCATGTTGGCCAGGATGGTCTCAATCTCTTGATCTGCCCACCTCGGCCTCCCAGAGTACTAGGATTACAGGCGTGAGCCACTGCTTCCGGCCTATCCTTTGTAAAGCTTGCGTATTTACCATTGCTCGGTGACTTATTCTGAAAATATTTTCAAAATTTAAAAAGTACAGATCACTATTTTGCCATGCAATGATCATATATGTAGCTAAGTTGTTACACACTTTTTCCAAATAACAATATTCTGTTTTCAGTGGTAACTATGAGTGAGCATGTAAGAACAAGATCCCAGTCCTCAGAAAGAGGAAATGACGAAGAGTCTTCCCAGCCAGTTGGACCTGCGATTGTGAGTTCTTCAACGTGTGATGTTTTCTATTAACACGATTTATTTTTAAGTATATTTTTCAGTTAGTGTACATGCACTGATATAGGTCCTCCTTGATAAAAAATAATGATGGCATCTCATCAAGGAAACTTTGGTTCAGGAGCATTATATTCTGGTGTTGCCTGTATGGATATGGATATTTTACTCTCTGTGTGTGGTGTGTGTGTGTGTGTGTGTATATATATATATATATAACTGTTGAAAAATGTCTTTAGACTTATGATTAGATGCACATATGCATTGTGTGTATTTATATTACAGACTTTTATTCACACACACACTTATACCCTTAGGTCCAGCAGCCCACTGAGGAAAAATGTCAAGAAGAGGAACCACCAACTGAAACTCAGGGTATTGCACCTAGTAGGGAAATCGAAAATGAAGGAGCACCTGCTGTTCAAGGTAAAGGGAGAGTGAAGAATAATGATTATGGGTGGTGGAGGTGTATTTATGCATTATATTTTATGACATAGCAGTAACAGGAGGACAGAAAACATTAGGAAGGAATCTTAAACTTTTCTTACTGCTGCTGTGGGGAGGAGTGGGACAGGGACACATAAAAAGCCACAACATTTTTCTACCATTTTGATGGAGGCTTTTTATTTATTTATTTACACACATTTATTAATACTTCATCATGCCGCATAATATACTAAGTGCTGGAGATGTCTGCTATCTGCGTAAAGCTCATAGTCTAGTCAGACTGACTCAAATCACTGATTTAATGTGATAAGTATAATAACAAATGAGTACAAAAGGGACAAGCAAGTTGTCTAGGGCCAACCTTGGGAAAGGAAAGGGCAGTCTTTGAAAATCTCTGCTTTCCTGTTTTTTCCGGCAACAGACTCCTGAAATAATTAGCCTACGGGTTTTGATTTTGTAATGATGAGGGAATAAATATAATTTCCTTGTTCATAGTTTATGTTTTAATTTGTAAATTGATGGCTGTTTTATCATTAAGGTCCTCATGTTGAAGCTGTTCAACAGGACTTGGCTCTGCTTACGATAGAGGATGAACCTGGAGATGGTCCAGATGTCAAAGACGGGATTCTGCCCACTTTTGATCCCACTAAAGTGCTGGAAGCAGGTATGTTATTCATTAAGATGCAAATTATAGGGTTTCTATTTTTACAATATTATATTTTGTGTGTCATAGAGGCAAAATTATTACTACTTGAATATAATACTTCACATACAAAGATTCCTTTAAGCTAGTTCACACCTCAAATGGCTGACTTACACACTGTCAGAGATAGAGGGCCAGGTGTGGTGGCTCACACTTTTAACCGTAGCACTTTGGGAGGCTGAGGCAGAAGGATCACTTGAGGCCAGGAGTTCAAGAGACAGAAAAATTGGGTCTAAGCTAATTGAATTATGATATGAATGATGTGAAACATGCTAAGAGATTAGATTTTGAGTGTCTTCACTGCTGTGTGGAGTAATTCGTATTTTAATTAGCTTGATTGAGCCATTTTAGAATGTGTATTTATTTTAGAACATCATGGTGTACATGATAAATATATACAACTTTATGTGTCATTTTACAAGAAAGATATGAAAACGTTTTCTGACTTTTGATGGTAATTCATTTAACCAACAGCCAACAATTTTCAGGTATTCTTATAGAGGCCCATTTTTAACAAATACATAACGTGTTTATAATATACGTCAATTTCTATTGTGATGTTAATTGTGATGGCAATGGCTTAAAGCTAGTGTGGGTATTTAGTTTACTCTATAAACTGAAATCCTTTTAAGTGTGTAAAGAGGCAGGAGTACCGGCGAAAAGAGTGACAAATGTTCACCCTACTTAAAGCAGCTGTATAATAGCTAAGCTAGTCCAAAGTTAACATTTTTACACTTTTCCACAAGAGACACAAAACAAATGTAATACTGCTTTTTCCATTTACTTTACTTAGGCAGTTCTAAGCATACTCTATATTCAGAGTGTTATTTCATATCAAAATATTTAAATGATACTTTAAAAATATCTTTCTTAGGTTTTTGTTTGGTTGAATTTTTACTGAAAGTATATGCATGTTTTTCCTTTCTACGTATACATATAAAATAGATTCACTTGATTTAATTCATTCTGAACTTGAACAGTCTCTTTGTTTCCTGCTTCTACTAGAAAAAATAGCATGAAATAAAATATTGTTAATATGCCTGGAAGTCTACTTTCAGAGTTAAAGAGGCTAACTGGACATAAGCTAAAGGGTCACCCTTAGGGTTCTGATTTTAGTTAATCAACATGGTAGTTGTATACCTTTAATGCCATCTGAATAAAAATCTGCTGAGTAACATGCCCTCATTTTATATTTGTATTATAGGTGAAGGGCAACCATAGATTTAAACCAAGACAAATGAAGACTGAAACCAAGAATGTTGTTCTTATGCTGGAAATTTGACTGCTAACATTCTCTTAATAAAGTGTTACATTTTTCTGCAAATAATTCTTGTACACTTTTGTTAAGTTTATTTCTAGATTTTTAATTCTCTTAAAAATTGTATCTTTTTTGAAAGTTTAAATTTTGTGTTTGAGATGAAATGTTGGCACATTGGTTTTCTGTCATAGATAGGAAACTGGAAGCTTTCATAGGGGGATGCCAGCAGCTACTTAGATAGAAAAGGCCACCTGAGGTCAAGCATGTCCACCATGGGTGTTCCACCTCCCTTTTTTTAGCACATGGACAGTAAGAAAGAAATGAGCAACATGGAGTAGCTGAGGCTGAGGACCTGCCTGCATAATAAAAGATTAGGGGCTGCCAGAGATTCATGCCCTATGCAAATGGTACACCTGGTCCTAACTGGTTGGTTGTACCCTACGTAGATTAGATACTGCCTCCCCTCTAGCTCATCTATAATAACTCCTGCATTTCACTGCAGGATGGCAATCCTTTTTTCTGGGACCCCGTCTCTGAAGTAAAGAGCTGTTCTCTTTCTTTTGCCTGTTAAATTTCTGCTCTAAACCTCCCTCTTGGTGTGTCTGTGTCCTTGATTTCCTTCACTGTGAGACCAAGAACTCTTGAATGTTACCCCAGACAATGAGGCCACTTCAGTACTAGTTGTGGGTCTGTGGTATATGGCTTTTAACACATTGAAGTGTGTTCCTTCTATTTCCAGTGTTTTGAGGGTTCATATCATGATGACATGCTGAGTTTTATTAAATGCTTTTTCGGCATCAATTGAAATGATGATGTGGTTTTTATCCTTCATTCTGTTGATATGCTTTATCACATAAATTAATTTGAATATGTTGAACCATCCTTCCATCCCAGGGATAAATCTCACTTGGTCATGGTGAACATTCTTTCTAATGTATTGTTGAATTTGATTTGCTAGTATTGCAAACATTTTATCCTAATCTTTGGGTTGTCTGCTTGCTCTGTTGATAGTTTCTTTTGCTGTGCAGAAGCTCTTTAGTTTAATTAGATCCCATGTGTAAATTTTTGCTTTTGTTGTAATTGCTTTTGGCATGTTCATCATGCTTTACTTGCCCGTGCCTGTGTCCTGAATGCATTCTCTTCTAGGATGTTTAGAGTTTTGGCCTGTACATTTAAGTCTTTAATCCACCTTGAGTTAATTTTTGTATAAGATGAAGGAGTCCAGTTTTAATTTTCTGCATATGGCTAGCCAGTTCTCCCAGCACCATTTATTCAATAGAGAGTCCTTTCCCCATTGCTTGTGTTTGTCAGGTTTGTCAAAGATCAGAAAGTTGTAGGTATGTGGTCCTATTTCTGAGTTCCCTATTCTGATTCATCGGTCTATGTGTCTCTTTTTGTACCAGTACCATGCTGTTTCGGTTACTGTAGCCTTGTAGTATAGTTTGAAGTCTGGTAAACGTGGTGCCTCCAGTTTTGTTCTTTTTGCTTAGGATTGTCTTGGCTATATGGGCTCATTTTTGGTTCCATGTGAATTTTAAAATATTTTTTTCTAATTCTGTGAAGAATGACAATGGTAGTTTAATGGGAATAGCATTGAATCTATGAATTATTTTGGGTAGTATGACCATTTTCGTGATACTGATTCTTCCTATCCATGCGCATGGAACGTTTCTCCATTTGTTTGTGTCATCTCTGATTTCCTCGTGCAGTGGTTTGTAGTTTTCCTTGAAGAGGTTCTTCACTTCCTTTGTTAGCTGTATTTTTGGGTTTGTTCTCTTTGTAGCAATTGTGAGTAGGAGTTCATTTATAATTTGGCTCTCTACTCACCTGTTGTTGATGTTTAGGAATGCTAGCAATTTTTGCACATTGATTTTGTATCCTGAGAGTTTGCTGAAGTTGCTTATCAGCTGAAGAAGCTTTTGTGCTGAGACGATGGGGTTTTCTAGATACAGGGTCATGCCATCTGCAAACAAATATAATTTGACTTCTTCTCTTCCTATTTGAATACTCTTTATTCCTTCTCTTGCCTAATTGCCCTGTCCAGAACTTCCAATACTATGTTGAATAGGAGTGGTAAGAGAGGGCATCCTTGTGCCAATTTTGAAGGGGAATGCTTCTAGCTTTAGCTCATTCAGTATGATACTGGCTGTGGGTTTGTCATGTATCACTCTTATTATTTTGAGGCATTTCAATACCTATATTATTGAGAGTTTTTAATATGAAGGGATGTTGAATTTTATCTGAAGAATCTGTTTCTTAAGGTTTCACCCCACTCCCCTACTCCTTTCAAGATGAGGAAGGAGTATGGTTTATGACTGTTTATGGGAAGGGGATGCCTTCTGGATGATAAGGGAAAATTCTTATATTTTGGCCCTAAAATAAATTTAGCTTGAGGCAATAATTTACATAATTCTTGTCAATTGTGGGAGTACATAAAAGCCAAGATAAATTGTGACTTGGCTAATAGCTTCTCCTTGTTTCTCACTCTCATTTATTGTGGTTAATTCTTTTTTTTTTCCCCCATTTATTTATTTTATTGCATTTTAGATTTTGGGGTACATGTGAAGAACATGCAAAATTGTTGGTTAATTCTTGAACCAGGAGAACAAAAGGAAATGACCACAAAATAATTTCAAGGCTTAGATAGGCGGCAAGACAAGAAAAATGACCCCTTTTATTTTAGTGGGCAAAGTCAGAACATTAAAAAAAAGAATGAACACGAAAATGGGTGATTGTGGCAAATGCTACAAAGGAAATGTATTGTTTCATTACAAATTACCACACATTTAATGGCTTCAACCAACACTCATTTATTAGCTCACAGTTCTGTAGGTTAGAAGTCTGGTCCACTGTGGTTGAGATCAAGATGTCCACTTACTGTGTTCTTATATGGAGCTTGCAGTCTTCTTCCAAGTTCATTCCTGTTATTGGAAAAACTAAGCTCATTGTGATTGTAGGACTAAGTTCTCAGTTCCTTGGCTGTCATCTGGAGGCTGATTTTAGCTTCTAGAAGCTATCCACATTCCTCATTAGGTGACCTCTTCCGTATTCAAGCCTGCAATGGCTCCTCAAGTTTTTATGTTTCAAATCTCTCTGACTTTTCCTACTGCCACCAGCCAGAGAAAACTCAGCTTTTAAAGGACTCACCTAAAGAGGTCAGGCCCACCCAGAAAAAATATCCATGTTTCAAGGATAAAAGTCCCCATGTTTCACTGGGGACTTTAATTACATCTGTAAAATCCCTTTAAAGCAAGATCTAGATAGGCATTTGATTGAATAACCAGGAGACATGAATCTTGAAAGGCCATCTTTAGAATTCTGCCCATCATGGGAAATAATTGAGTGAAAGAACAGAAAATAACTATGAAGGAGCAGTGTATCATTCAGGACAGAGTTGCTTATGATAGAAACAAACTCACAAAGCTCAGTGGTATTAAAAGATAGGATTTTTCTTAACCATACTACATATAAATCATGAGACAAGACTTTTAATGTGGTATTTGCAGTTATTTAGGTATCATGATTAACAAAACAACTGCCGTCTTGAATATTACTGGTCACTGTGCCAGAAGAAAAGAGAATGCTCTAGAGAGTCTTGCCCTAGAAATTAAATACTCTGTCTCAGATATGATATGAATTACTTCTGTTTATGTAGGCCACAACTAGTTACATGACAAGCTCACTACCCAGGAAATGCAATCATATATCTTCTTAGAAGATACACTGGAAGGCTGGGCGTGGTGGCTCACACCTGTAATCCCAGCACTTTGGGAGGCCAAGGTGGGTGGATCATGAGGTCAAGAGATTGAGACCATCCTGGTCAACATGGTGAAACCCTGTCTCTACTAAAAATACAAAAATTAGCTGGGCATGGTGGCACGTGCCTGTAGTCCCAGCTACCTGGGAGGCTGAGGCAGGAGAATTGCTTGAACCTGGGAGGCAGAGGTTGCGGTGAGCCAAGATCATGCCATTGCACTCCAGCCTGGGCAACAAGAGCAAAACTCTGTCTCAAAAAGAAAAAAAGATATACTAGAAATATTTTTATAATTATAAATAACTACTAACTACCAGTATCTGAAAATATTTTAGAGGCATGTCAGAGAAGTCTTTTCTAAGTAGATGACAACATACCTCACAGACGGCCTAGAGTTCATTTATTGCCAGCGTGATAGTACTTGATACTCAACAAAATGTAACTACTATACATGTTATTAATAATTAAAAATAATATATTATTAATGAGTGACCATAGCAAATCCTTCTGCATGAATTTCTGTTCACTCAGACTAGGATTTGTGACTATCATCCTACACTTTGACCAGAAGCATCTAGTGGTTGTGCATCCTACACATGATTTTCATTCATAACAAAGCTTTGATAAACTCTTACTCCCTCAACCTGAAATCTGCCATCAGAATGGGCCTGCAGTACATAATTCACTGAAGAGATACCTTGTTACACTCCTGTACAGAGATTGTGGCTGGGGCTGGGACCAGGGAGCTGAGGAGGTGAGAGCTGATGGCCAGAGACTAAATGAAGGATGTTGCTGAAGAAAATGTTATGGAGGAGGAGGCTGATGCCCACACCACAGCCTTGGGGAAATGGTATAAGTTTTCACAGGAGATGTTGTGACTTTTTGCTTCAGGGTCTGTAGTATCATTGCTCTTTCCTGTCCTGACAGTGTCCCCCAGGTGATCCTACCTCCAGCCTTCAGTAATTGCTCATTTAGGTGGGTGTCCGTGTGTCATCCAAGTGGTAAGTGTTGTATAATAGATTTGGTGATGGGGCTGGGCGCGGTAGCTCACACCTGTAATCCCAGCACTTTGGGAGGCCAAGGCGATGGATCACAAGGTGAGGAGTTCAAGACAAGCCTGGCCAAGATAGTGAAACCCCATCTCTACTAAAAATACAAAAATTAGCTGGGCGCGGTGGCATGTGCTTGTAATCCCAGCTACTCAGGAGGCTGAGGCAGGAGAATCCCTTGAACCTGGGAAGTGGAGGTTGCAGTGAGCTGAATTCGTGCCATTGTACTCCAGCCTGGGCGACAGAGTGAGACTCTGTCTCAA